GACATGTTTCCCGAGAATTCACCCAGCTGTGGGAGCTCTGATTTCTTTGAGAGCAAATGTCTGTTCTTTAAAAATGTATTGTTATATTATTTTGTAAACCTATTTCTGCTAATGTCTGTTCTTTAAAAATGTATTGTTGTTATATTATTTTGTAAACCTATTAATAAATTAATGTTGGATTAGTTAATTAACATTCCAGGCAGAGCCTTATTCACTTTTGTTATTAGCATCTCTTCTGCCTCAGAGGAAATTGTATAATACATGTTATTCTTTCATTAGAGTTCATAAATTTCTTCATAATGTTTTGTACATGTAATATAACAAGTCTGTTAAATCTGTTTCTTGCTCAATAACTTTTGATGATTTTAAAATGACTAAGATCCCCTCACTAGGTTCTGCTTCCTCAATTTATTTCTGCTTGGACTGTCTACTATACTTGTGAAGTTAGGGGAGGTTACTTTTTTAACTTCTTTTTCCTTGAAGTAATGAGAATGGGCTTATACTCTGTTACAGAGCTGGGAACTGAAAATGACATTTTTTCCATAATGGCAAAAAAATGCCACCCTAAAAAAAAAAATCTTTATTTTGTATCGGATAATAGAAAATGTCTTTAAAGTGTATGAAACCTACCAGTAAATATAGTGTGTCAAACACACATTGCATCCTATCCCAGACCCGCCCTTTGGAGGGAACCCAGTCCATTATGATTTGATCCAGCTGATGAATCCCATGTGCTTCTAAGTGCCCTGGGTGGTAATAGTGACTAGTCACTGTTTCTAACAATGGGTCTCTCTCACACTTTGAAGTGCAGAACCTGTGTCTGGCCTTCCTTGGGCCTCAGGACACTTAAGTTAGTTGCATAGACCATGAAACCAGCATCACAGGCCTCTCAAGAGCTCAGTTGCTTAGACATGTTTCCCGAGAATTCACCCAGCTGTGGGAGCTCTGATTTCTTTGAGAGCAATGTCCCTGTGGGTGCTCCACAGCAGGTGTCAGTGCGTCCCAGCGCCGCAGACCAGATTCCTGATAGCAGTGCATGGGGGGGGCCGCGCTTGCGCAACAGGGAAGGCAGACGGGCACTGGTTGATGCGACTGTGCTCTTACTGTCCTCGGCTTAGCAGGGCTCTTCACTCTTCATTAATCCTTGTAGATAAGTAGTTGAATATTGTTATCTCTTCTTCCTTTACTTCATGCCTTATCCAAGTTCATCTCCCTTAAAAAAAGAAATCCCTCCTTTTTTCTCCAAGTTACAATTCCCGCTGTTTGCTCTTCACTCTATTGATAATGCCGGGGTCACCGGGCTTCAAACATTGGTCAGCCTGCAATGAGGCTATGCCTGTCTCTGATGGACATTGTATGTGTGTCGAATGCCTCGGCGAGTCCCATATTCAACAGGACTGACAACACTGTGCTAAACTCAAAGTGCGAACATGCAGAGACAGGGACCTCTGCCGGAAAATTATTACCATAAAATCGCGAGTATAATGCACACTTTTTTTCCAACTTTTTTGGGGTCAGGGTCAGGGTGCACATTATATATAGGTGTTATTTTTAAAGTTTTATTTTGGCAGCACCCTGGCTCACTGCCTGCCCGTTGCTCCTTCAGGCTGTACCCGGAAACTTTCCCGCTGCAGCGCGGCACGGGGATTGCTGCTCCATCCGGGCAGCTGTCCAGAGGGGCGGGGGGCAGGTTTCAAACTCTGCCGCTGGCTCTCCAGGCTGCACGTGTGTTTCCCGGGCAAGCCTGCAGGTGGGAGCCGCGCGTCCCTCCCTCCTGCTCTCCTGCAGCCCAGGGCCGGCGGCTCAGGGAAGCGGGCGAGGCTGGGCTTGGTGATGGCAGGTCAGCTCCTGGCTGTGGGCTGCGCACAAGCTATATAGGAGTATAGCTATATAGGTGCAGTGTAGGTGTGCATTATACATAGGAGTTCAGATTTTTTCATTATGCTAAGATTCCAAAGTCAGGGTGCGCATTATATTTGTGATTTTACAGTGTGTTAGAAAAAGGCGCAACATTCCACCTTGGATCCTGGCATGCGGATTCCTGATAAGGGGATACCCAAAAAAGGGAAAATGTCACCAAAGAAATGTGCTTCTTTGTTTCCTCGCAAGCCATAGTTGCCTAAGTGGCGTGCAACTAAAAAATTGGTACCGACAGACCATCTTGTCTCAGCACTTACGATGCCCTGAGCATTTCTGGTACTGATAGGGTTCTCTCCAGACACGGTGCCCACATTGAAGATACAGGCCCTTGCAGGCCTGCCTCTCATCCTTCGGCATCCACTGCTGCGCCAAGTAATCAAACAACTGAATCCCTGGCCCTGGGGATTACTGGCATGGCAAGGCACGGCAACAGCCAGTGGCACAGCCAATTGGCACCATTCCGTCAACTAACGGTGCCGCAGCTACCTCAGTGCCACAATCTCCATCGGTTCCGACTACAACTGCACTAGCTCCAGTACCATTTACGGTACCAACGGCCCTGGCACCGTCCACTCCAGCACCTGGGTACTTACATCACAGAAACCTTACAGTGTTGTCTATGTTTAATTCTCCATTTCTTGGTACTAATACGTCACCTCCGTCAGTGGCACCAAAACATCTCTCATTGCCTATGCTTTTATCCAGTGATGATGGCAATGAAGGCAATTTTTTATTCTCACCCCCAAGTTATTGCCTGATACCAAAATGTCTGCACCATCAACTCATCCCAGTTTCAGGCACCCCATTACTTCCAGTGTGCCCCCCTTGGGCTCACACCCATGGATGCCATCGCTTATGCCTTATGCTGCACAATGGCAATATTGGAGCGTATGGGTTCATGACCACAAAAAGAGACATTCAAAAAAGAAACCTACACAGCCTGCATACTCTCCTCTGCCACAAACCCTGTCGCCGCAGACAAAGTATCAGGAAACCGCACATCCACAATCTCATGAGTCGGGCTGTGATATGTCTGCAGATACAAACTCATCCTCCTCTCCCAATGAGGCAATCATGGCACCACCCTTAACCACAGCTGGGGACTTTACAGCTTCCCAGGACCTCTTTAAGAGGGTTGCAGTGGAACTCAATATTGCCACGGAGGAAACGCAGGAGACACAGTATGAACTCGCCAATATCCTCCAAGCAATGCCGTCCTCCAAGATTGCTCTGCATATTAATCCAGCTATTATAGAGCCTGCCTTGTGACACACCCCTGCAACTATCCCCCCAACTCTTAAGAGGGAGGATAGGAAATATTACGTCCCCTCAAAGGAGTCAGAATTCTTCTTCACCCACCCATCCCCAAACTCTCTTGTGGTGGATGCTGCCCATCAAAGGAACAAGCAGCATCAGCCTCATTCTGTCCCAGCTGATAAAGATAGCAAAAGGCTGGATTTGTTTGGCAGGAGAGTCGACACCTCATCCATGTTGCAGTTCAGAATTGACAATTACGCTGCATTCCTCAGTAAATACGATTTTAACAACTACTCAAAATTCAACACTTTTATTGGGGATATACAAGAAACAACAATTCAGGGTGGTCATTGTGAAAGGACATGCAATTTTGAGAACAGCTCTACCTCTCAATGCTGCAGATACTGCCACTAGATCAATATTGACTGCAGTTGTTATGAGACGGACCTCTTGGTTTAACTCTTCTGTATTTCCACATGAAATTCAGGCAACTGTGGCAGATCTACCATTCAAGGCTAAGAAGTTCTGTTCAACCAAGACCGTCATGGTCCTTCATTCCATGAAAGATTCCCGGGCAACACTACGCTCTCTCAGCATCCAGACACTTGCAATCAGGAGGAGGCAGTATCGACGCCAACCATATCCAAGACCAAGGTATTCAACCTACACCTATCAATGCCAGAGACAGGACCAACAGCCGCAACAACAACGTGGTCATGACAGGCAACAGCATAGATGCAACCAGAGCAGCGCTACCAATTAGCTGCCCCAATTGAATAAGCAAATTTGATCCATCGGTTGAGAGACCGAAAATGATTCTGTCCACTCCACAGTTGCCAATTAACAATCAACCATTCACCCATCACCTTCTGCCAACTGACAGAACATAACATCTTACATAACATCTATAAACAGTCCTATCAGGATACAAAATGCCTTTTCTCTCCATCCCTCCCTCCCATCCTCCTATCCCGTCACTCTTCAGGGACCACTCTCATGAGACCATCCTACAATAGGAAGTCGAGCACCTCCTCCAATTGGGCGCCATAGAAGTAGTCCCACAGGAATACCGCAGGAGTGGTTTTTACTCACATTATTTTCTCACACAAAAGAAGACCAGGGGATGGCATCTAATTTTGGATCTGAGAGCCCTTAAGAAATTTGTAAAGAGGCAAAAATTCAAGATGGTAATGTTGACTACCGTTACCCTTTCTCTGGAACTGGACAATTGGTTTTCATGTCTCGACTTACAGGATGCCTATTTTCATGTTACTATTCATCCTGCTCATTGATGGTTTCTCCGTTTCATCTTAGATACACAACACTACCAATATACAGTCCTCCGCTTTGGACTCTCCACAGTGCCGAGAGTTTTGTCCAAGATATTGGCAGTGGCTATGGCCCATCTCAGGAAACAGGACATTATTATCTATTCTGAAATAGTGTTGAAGTGTAGATGTACCCTCAAAAAGAACCTGTAAACTCATTTGCTACTCTCTGTGGCCCTTTTTTTCCACATATCTTTCTAATTCATTGTTTGTAGAGTTGGAGGTAGGGTTAGCTTATCTACGTCAAGCGAGAGCTTTCACGTTGTGCAGTAAAAATATTTTCTCCCAACTAAGACATGGGAAAATACAATCTTATGAGTTAGTGTTGGTGGTAGAGTTTCAATTAGAGGGACAGTCTTTCAGTAATATAAGGTACATTTGAAATTACAGACACTACATTTGAAGAAGGGATTAAATGATGATGTTGTATCTGTTTGATAGATAAGAAAAGCAAATATATAACTTGTGTGCTCTTCATTTTTTGTCTTGATTCAGGCACTTTGCAGTATATGGCTCCAGAGATTATAGATAAGGGGCCTCGAGGATATGGTGCACCAGCTGATATCTGGTCACTGGGTTGCACTATCATTGAAATGGCAACAGGAAAACCTCCATTTCATGAGTTGGGGGAGCCGCAAGCAGCTATGTTTAAAGTAAGAATAAATTTTATTTGCTGGATAGCTTGTGAAACTTGACATAGTACCCGTTAATTAAATTTTGATATAGTTAATATTTACAAGTTAAGTATTCTGAGCAATTTAATCTGCACTGGCAATATAATTACCTCTTGTTGGAGAAGTTATTCTGCACAGGGTCAGGGTCCAAAGTGGGATCTCATTATGCATGTGAATGCTTCAAGATGCAACACTCAGCAAAGTGCCATTTCCAAAGGGCAGGATTCAGCGTGCTGCAAAATTAGGATTTCTGAAAATTGCTGTTCCTGACCACACCTCTCACTCCCTGTGTTCCTCCAGTCCTCTCAGCACCTTCCTTTTCTACTCTTCTCCTTACGCCTTCTTTCTTGGCACTTCAGAGAGCCCCCCAGTTGTTATCTGACAAATGTCCTCTCTGCTGCCTTAAAAGCTTCCCTGCCAGAAAATCTGTTTATCTTTTCTTTCCAATGCTCCCATCCTGTCAGATGCCAAGAGTCACCTGGGAGACACAGAGCACTTTCAGCTCCCAATAGTTTCCATGGGGGTTGAGGGCACACTACCCTTTATTCCCTTAGGTTGCATGGTCTTTGGACAGGGATGTGTCTTGCACCATTTGGTAATGTGATGTATACATTGGCAGTGCTATGTGACTGGTTAGCAATAAAAAATAAAAAAGGCCTTTTAACTAACTACTAAAATAATCTTATTTTTATAACATCAGATTTATTTTGTTCACTTTATGTTCTGAGTACCAGTTGTGGCACTTGACAAGATGTGTATGATCTAATGATAAGATATGGAAATGCAAAGTCAGGAATCTCTTCCTGACTCTGCCACGGGCTTCCTTTGTGTCCTCTAACAAAACATTTAACATCTCACTAGGCACAGTTTCCCTATCTGTGTAATAAGAAAAATATCATCCCCCTAACCAGGTGTAGCACATTTTAATTCATTAATACTTGTAAACTGCTTTGTGATCTTCTAGTAAAAGTCACTGTGTAATTGGTATTATAATAATAGCAAAAACTGTCATAATAAAATCAAATATCAACCATTAAACACAGTAAATTAGGCTCCAATCAGCAAAGCACTTAAACACATGTATTATTTTAAGCACAAGTAGTCCCATTTAACTCAAAAGGAAAGGAAATGGAAGAGGGAGGAATTTATAATGGTCTTTTAGTTATGTAGTCTGGCTTACTACATTTTCAGATCCATGAAAAGCAAAAGTGATTTCCATGTCACGGTCTATGTCCATTGTGGTCTGTTTCTGTCAGCAGACACCTTTTCTAGTATCTGGCTCTTTGTAGAACTGATCTTCTCTTCATGAGAAGTGTGATATATCTTTTCTTTAAGATATGCTTCTGAGCCATTATTAAAATATTGGTCAAAATTCTGGATTCCCTGTCAGAGTTCTCGATGCCCTGGTGGGCTGTGCACAAGTTCACAGAATGACTAGTGTGGGAGATAAGCAGGGCCTTGCATATTCCCTGCTTTTGCAATTATGGCATTTCCGCTGAATTCTCTTTTGCCACAAAATTGTATTCCTGAACCATGTCTAATTTTTAATGTTTAAATTAATGTTTAATGTTCCTTAATTTTTTTAAAGTTGTGTTTCTTGCCTTTCTGCTTGTGATGACAACCTTGGAAAAATGCAGTGAGTAAAATAATAGGCTGTTTGAGTTGGCCAAGAATCTGAAACACTTAAGGGTGTGTCTACACTGCACCCATAGCTCAAAATAAGTAACGCAATTTGAACTACACAAATTGGGTAGCTTATTTCAAGTCAATTTCAAAATAGCTTAAATAATCTTCTATTCTGAAACATCCCTTACTCCTCGTGGAATGAGGTTTACAGGGATGTTGGAATAGCAAGCCCATTATATTCTGAAATAACAGGCTTCCTGTTAAGATGCGGGATAGCTATTTTGGTAAACCTCATTGCATGAGGAGTAAGGGAAATCAGAGGAAGAGTGCTCTTCTACAGGCTTCCTGCTGTGTACTCAGCGCCAAAAGCCGAAATATGCTGTTTCAACTTAAGCTATGCAATTGACATAGCTGAAGTTGTTGTGTAGCTTATTTTGGCTTTAGTCCTGCTGTGTAGATGTGCTCTAACTGTGAGAGGTGTAAACTGTCTCTTTCATCTCACTCGGGATTCTGTGTACATCATGGAATTTGGCATTTTTCAAAGAATGTCACATAATTTAGCATTTTAATAATTAATTGTGATGTTTTATTGCAGCTGCACATATAGTGTTTTTGGTTTTCTGTCTCCTTCCATACTGGAACCTGCCTGCATCTATGTCTTGCTTGGCACTTTTCCCGAAAGGGGAACAAGCCAATTGGATTATGGTGCATATTCTCCTTGCTGTTCTATAGAACCAATCAGGAAGGGAGCCAGACTCCAATTTGCATCCAGGAAGCTGGCAGTGAAGGCTGGGTAGATAGGCGGCCTAGGTGGAAAAAAAGCCTGTGAATTTGCTGCTTGGAATCTTGTACTGCACAGGAAATGTCAGGTCTGGTTTGAAAGGCGGCATACCTTTGGATGTGCATGGAAACATAGCTTGGAAGTAGTTAACGCATTGGCATTTTATATATACTCTACACTACAATTCAAATACAGGCTCTATTGTTCAGCATTTTGGCTTCAGCATGCATTACAAGCAGGCTTTACTGGATCTCACAAAGCTAAATTCCAATGGTAAATTTATAAAAATGCCACAGTGTGTTAATACAGTTAGCCAATGTGAATGTTTAGACAATTCTCTATTTCAGCAAGCTGCTGTCACTTGTTTAACCACTTAGCTATCATCTGCCTTGTGGCTAGCATAATTTTCAGGCTCATTTTGCATGTTTTCCAGTCTATTTTACATAAATATGTCAAGGCTGAAAAGAATAACTTTGCCAGATTTGTACTGCATGTGCAGAATGTACGGTACAACTGTGTCCTAAAGGATACACCTACTCTACCAGGAACCCCACTCTCCCCCACAGCAAGTAGTCTCAGAACTCCAGTCAGCTATGCCAGTTTCCTGCTCTGGGGCTAAAAATAATGTGGATATTCAGACTCAGGCTGGTCCCTGTCTTCTGAACTGGGACAGGGGTTAGTGCTCAAGGTCAGGGTCCAGCCCTCACCTGAATGTTCACACTGCTGTGGGTTGCTTGGTTTGTGGTGTTTCATGTTTGTGTGCATTGTAGACATACTCAAAAATAGTTATGTACAGTCTGCCCTGGGATTAAAAAATCAGTAGCTCAAGCTGATGCATGCAGAGGGACCAGGTTACTATAGAGCACTGGTGTTCCGTGAACAACTCGCAGGTGCGCCGCGGCCTCTTCTTGGTTTTGTTACTTCTTTGTTTTTGTCTTTTTTGGTTTGACAACAATTTTTTTTTTGAGGAAACTTTTTGTAGGTGTTCCGGATTAAAAAATATTATTGTTTGGTGTTCCGTGGCCTCAAAAAGTTTAAGAAACGCTGCTATAGAGTAACATTTTGAAATAAATATCTGTCTAATCACATTATCCAAGTGTAGGATCATGTTGATTATGTAATTTCTAGGTGGCTGTCATTGCAATGTCTTAGCTGACATGAGGCCTTAGCACTGGGTATAATGAACGCATCTGGCCATGGCTAAGGGCTGACTGTTTGCCCTTGTGCTAGCATGGGCACAGGGTAGTTTGGCACCTGCAAAGTAGGGTAGGGTCTGGGCACCAAACCAAGGCAATGGGGTATCAAGGAACTCAGCATTACACCTGGAAGTTGGTTTTGATACTTGGGGAGAAGTGTATACTGGGAGAGACGGTGCTGGCTGGCTGGCATAAAAAGAATAGAAGGGCATAGCAGCTAGGAGGGAGAACAGAGTCTGGAGCACTTGCGGTGGGGATGGGCAGACCCAGGTGTTGCACAATGCTTAGATAGTTGGATCGGTTCATGTCTTAGAATCATAGAATACTAGGACTGGAAGGGACCTCGAGAGGTCATTGAGTCCAGTCCCATCTAGACCAACCCTGATAGACGTTTATCTAACCTATTCTTAAATATCTCCAGAATGGGGATTCCACAACCTTCCTGGGCAATTTATTCCAGTGTTTAACCACCCTGACAGTTAGGAAGTTTTTCCTAATGTCCAACCTAAACCTCCCTTGCTGCAGTTAAAGCCCATTGCTTCTTGTCCTGTCCTCAGAGGCCAAGAAGAACATTTTTTCTTCCTCCTCCTTGTGACACCCTTTTAGATACTGAAAACTGCTATCATGTCCCCCCTCAATCTTCTCTTTTCCAAACTAAACTAGCCCAATTCTTTCAGTCTTCCTTCATAGGTCATGTTCTCTAGACCTTTAATCATTCTTGTTGCTCTTCTCTGGACCCTCTCCAATTTCTCCATTTTTCTTGAAATGTGGTGCCCAAAACTGGGCACAATACTCCAATTGAGGCCTAATCAGTGCAGAGTAGAGCGGAAGAATGACTTCTCGTGTCTTGCTCACAACACACCTGTTAATGCCTCCTAGAATCATGTCTGCTTTTTTTGCAACAGTGTCACATTGTTGACTCATATTTAGCTTGTGGTCCACTATAACCCCTAGATCCCTTTCTGCCACACTCCTTCCTAGATAGTTGCTTCCCATTCAGTATGTGTGAAACTGATTGTTCCTACCTAAGTAGAGCACTTTGCATTTGTCCTTATTAAACTTCATCCTGTTTATCTCAGACCATTTCTCCAATTTGTCCAGATCATTTTGAATTATGACCCTATCCTCCAAAGCAGTTGCAGCCCCTCCCAGCTTGGTATCATCTGCAAATTTAATAAGCGTTCTCTCTATGCCAGTATCTAAATTGTTGATGAAGATATTGAACAGAGCTGGTCCAAAAAAAGACCCCTGCAGAACCCCATTTGTTATGCCCTTCCAGCAGAATTGTGAACCATTAATAAATACTCTCTGAGAATGGTTATCCAGCTAGTTATGCACCCACCTTATAGTTGCCCCATCTAAGTTGTATTTGCCTAGTTTGTTGATAAGAATATCACGAAAGAATATCAAGTGCTTTAGTAAAGTCTAGGTATACCACATCCACCACTTCTCCCTTATCCATAAGACTCGTTATCCTATCAAAGAAAGCAATCAGATTGGTTTGACATGATTTGTTCTTTACAATCCATGCTGGCTGTTCTCTATCACCTTAAGTCTTGACTTCAGTTGGGCCGGTGTAACCTGTCAGGGTGGTTAAACACTGCAATACGTTGCCTTGAGAGGTTGTGGAATCTCTGTCACTGCAGATATTTAAGAGCAGGTTGGATGGACATCTATCAGGAATGGTCTAGGCCGTGGGTCAGCAGCCTATGGGTTACGAGCCAAATATGGCTCTCGAGGGAGCCAGATATGCCTCTTTTGCAACTGGAGCTCATCCCCTCACAGCAGGGAGCCTGTGCTGGCACTCCAGCCTCATGCCGCCCCTCAAGATTGGAGCGCCAGCACTGGCTTCCTGTAAAAGAAGGGGAGGGTGAAGGGAAGCCTCAAGCCTCCCTGCTTGATCCAGCTTGCGGGGAAGAAGCTGGAGCCAGAAGCAGTGGTACGGTGCTGCTCCCCTTCCCCTCCCCCGGCTGAGGGGAGCAGCAGCACTCGGCTGCACTTCCTGGAGGCTTTCCCCGCTGCTCCCATTGGAACAGCGGGGAAAGCCTCTGGTGTCTGGGAGTGGTGCATGGTGTGAAAACAAGTAAGTGCCCCACATCCCCTCATGCCCAGACCCTGCACCCTGTTTCCTGCCGAGACCCTGCACTCCCAACCTGCTCCTGCATCCTCCTCTGCTCCTGTCTCCTTTCTATTTGACAGACACCCTGTCCCCAGCCTGCTCCTGTGTTTTGTTTTGGTTTTTTTTTTTGCTTCTCACTTGTGTGGTCCTCACCTGATTTTTCTGTGGGTCAGTGGCCCCAACCCAAATAGGACTCACCACACCTGCCATCAAGACAATGTTGAAACCTTTTGTGTTGGACATCATTTAAAATAAAGTAAAATATTAAGTCTGGCCAACAAGCCCCCAGTTGGAGCCCAACCCCCATCTGGATGCAGCATCATAACACCCCTGCACCCCCCCATACTCTAACCCTGAGCCCATCATACACTTGAACCCCCTGCCCTGAGCCCCTCGTATTCCCACATTCCCAAACTCCTGCACCCACACACCCTCAGTCTCCTGTCATAGCACTCCTGCACCCACTACATACCCCAATCCTGTGCCCTGAGTCCATCATACACCCAAACCCCCTGCCATGAGCCCCTCATACACCTCAACCCACACTCCTGCACCCCCATATCCCCAGCCCTCTGCCATAAGATTGACAGAAGAGAGCCTGAATGTGTGCATGAAGCTGGATTTGACCAGATACAATGTAAACTTCAAATAAATGTGCAAAAAGATGCAGCAGCAGAAGTCCCATTAAATAAAGTCTCTGAGTATGTTTCATTTATACTATTATTTATCATTATGTCAATTATCAATAATATTAGGTTGTATATTTTCACTCATGCACATAGACATTCTTTGTAGATCGCTTGTTCTGAATTTTGATGTAGTTTGGCTCTTCGTTTTAAAAAGGTTGCCAACCCCCGATCTAGATGGTAGTTGGTCATGCTGTGAGGGCAGGGGACTGGACTCAATGACTCCCGAGGTTCCTTCCAGTTCTAGTGTTCTATGATTTTAGGATTCTAGGACACACATCTGCAGGAGTAAACATTTGCAACAGATATATAGCTAGATCCCCAGCTGTGGTAAATGAAGCCCAACTGACCCTCCACTGACTAGTCGAACTCTTCACTTGCAGTCATTGGAGCTATACCAGTTTACGCCAAGCCAGGAGCTGGCTAATGGACCTTTTGCAGCTACTCATTGGAAGTCAAATAACTGTCTGTCCATATTTTACTTATAGGTTGGGATGTTTAAAATTCATCCTGAAATCCCAGAATCACTATCTGCTGAAGCAAGGGCTTTTATTTTGCTCTGCTTTGAACCTGATCCGAATAAGCGTGTAACAGCATCTGATCTACTCAAAGACCCCTTCTTAAAGCAGGTGAACAAGGGCAAGAAAAACAGAATTGCGTTCAAGCCTTTAGGTAAGAAATGATCAGCCAAGTGCAAGGTAACATCCTTACGTATTACATAAAAAAATTGAATCATTAGCCAATTCCTCTCTGTTATTCAGGATCTTGAACATACTAAGAAATCAACTGGCATTAAACTGTAGCAAGTACCTTGTGGTTTTTATTTATTTATTTATTTGGCTTGTTGAAATCTCCCCATTGGCTAAATGAATGAACAGTTTTTCATAAAAGAAAAGTTCATTCTGTCAAGGTTTTCACAGGTGACTTAAACTTTTGGCTGCATACCAAGAATCACCTCAAAGAGGTGATTTTCACAGGATTGGTGCTCAGCACTTTCTGAAATTAATTAAGGACCTGATCAACGCTGCGTAAGTCTCCTAGTAGAACATAAACATACAGTCATTGCAAAGTTCTGTTCTCAGGTTTGTAGCGGTAAAATTTATAGACTGCTAACTTGTAAAGTGAAAGTCTCTGGTAACTTCCAAAAGATTGGAAGATGCTTCAGTCCATAGGCAATATGCTTTTTAGCTGTAATTCCACAGTTCAGAGAATCCGAATAGGAAAAGGGCAACATGGAGATATTTCAGATTCCAGGATCTTTTTTATCCTCTGCCATGTGCTCGGCATTTTAATGTCCCAAACAAAGCACACAGCACATTTTGTGGAATATTACTGGCACAAAATGGAGTCCAGGGTCACATGAACACATCACATGTCCTTACATGGCTTGATGACTCACAGGGAGTAAGAATTGGCTTGTTGGAGGCTGCAATGTCAGCAGGATGAGCCACTGAGGCAGAATGAGTTTGTTCTGTGGTCCATCCTGAGAGTGAAGTGTCCTTAATGGGCCATTAAGCTTAAACAAGGTGCTGGCTGGACTAGATGTAAACTCCCTTGTGGGTGTTATCCTAGGAACAAACACAATGGTGGTCCAGGTATATAGCCAATATTCATAACTTGGATAAAAAAATGATAGACACAAATGAACAGGATAATCACCCTTAGCAAATCATAACTTCTTTGAGTGCTTGCTCATGTTGATTCCATCCTAGGTGTGCTCATGCCCGTGTGCATGGCAATTACAGATTTTTGCCTTTGCGGTATCCATAGAGGGCTGTGGCACTCTCTAGAGTGCCGTGTTCATGCTGTGGTATATCAGGTGCTGCCAGCCCAAGTCCTCTCATTTCCGTCTTACTGTCTGCAGTGGTCAGTTGGTGCCCCTCTCTCACTTGACAAGAGCTTTTAGGATGTTTTCCCCCCTTGGACTTAATGCTTTTTGTACATTGTTGTTAGTGTTAAGTAGTTGTTAAATGTAGCTAGTCGATAGTATGGGTCTCAGCAGGGACATTGCACCAAGTGGGCCATGCCCCAGGTTCATGGGTTTAAGCCCTGCTCAGATTGCAGCAGGTTTATGTCTGTGAGTGACCCCGTAACAGCTGCATTACGTGCTTTGGGAAGTCACACATCAGAACTTTTGTCTGCACACCAGAAAGCTGAGGGTTATTTTCCTCAAAGCTCTCATCATTGAATCGGCTCTTACTACATTTAAAAGGCAGAGACGCAGCAGGGGTCGCGAGTGCCTCCCCCCATATTCATTTAAAAGGCAGAGATGCAGCGGGGGTCGCGAGTGCCTCCTCCCATATTGACTAATCGAGTAGTCAGTGGAAATTCCATCAACTACTCGATTAGCTGATTAATCAAAATATAATATCCCTAGTGCAGTGCAGGCTCCTGCTGCTGGTGCTGGCCCTCCAGCTCACTAGCCTGCCAGCTGCTAGCCAGCCCTTCCCACCTCAGGGGGGCACAGTGCATGTGGCAGCAGAAGTAGCAATGGGAAGGCTTGTCTAACAGTGGCATTATTAATGATATATAGGACCATATTTTGGTCAGACAGCATCACAGGTGCCTAATATGGCGTATCGATATTTTGACAACTAATGACCTAATTTTTCAGTGACCGCTATTTCCATTGAAAATCTGGCCACGTTGTCAGCAGGATGCATAGTGAGCACTGACCTACTGAAGACCCACATTAGAATGTGAAACATCTAGCCACACAAAGATCATAGAATGCAGACTGGAAAAGTCCTTATTTTCCCCTCAGGTCATCTGTTCTCTCAGGGTAGGTCTACACTACAACGCTAATTCGAACTAACTTAGTTCAAATTAGTTAATTCGAACTAACTGATCCAGACTAAAAAACTAGTTCGAATTAGCGTTTTGCTAATTCGAACTAGCACGTCCACATTAAGTGGACCCTGAACCAGGGTTAAGGATGGCCGGAAGCAGTGCCGGCAGGGCATCAGATGAGGACTTAGAGCGTGGAGCTGCTGCCTCAGGCTAGCCGAGGGCTGTGCTTAAAGGGACCCGACCCCCACCCCGGACAAACAGTTCTCAGGGGTGCCCCGCTTGCAAAGCAGTCCTGGCTTGGATTGCCCGGAGTACCCACACTGGGCACATCACAGCACTCGGCCATCAGACCAGCTGCACTTGCCGCAGGCT